ATACAGTTGGGGGAGAAAGGGGACTGGGTTACAGCAGGGAGGGGAGGTGTTTGGCTCTGGGGAAGGGAAGAGGAGGAGAGGGGAGGGGGATTGTGTTGGGAGTATGCCCATGTGACGGGTCTGCCGGGACCTGCACTGTGTCCGGAAAGGGGGGGTCGCCGGGGAATAGTGCAGCGAGTGGCGAACCCTTCGCTGCTTTGCAGGGAGGCAGGGGAAGCCCCGCACAGCCGCCAGCAATGGCCAGCTGGGGAAATTATGTTATTCCAGGGACGGTCATGTAATTCAAAAAATGTTCCCTAAAAAAAAAAATTGTGCTATCGCGAAAACTTGTTAAGCGGGCATGTGTTAAATGAGGAATTAATGTAAAACTCAATCTATACTCTAAGGCTACGTCTAGACTACAGGCTTCTTCGGAAGAAGGTTTTTTCGGAAGAGATCTTCCGAAAGAGAGGGTCCACACTGCAAAAGTGCATCAAAAAAGTGATCTGCTTTTTTGAAAGAGAGCGTCCAGACTGAATGGACACTCTCTCGCATGTAAACTATGATTGCTATGGACAGAATAGCCACCAGGGCACCTGTGCTTTTTCCTCTTCTTCTGAAAGAACTCCCTCTTCCCCGTCCACACATGCCTTTTTGTGAAAGAGTTCTTTCATAAAAAGGCTTCTTCCTCGTAGAATGAGGATTACCAATGCCAGAAAAACCCCTGCGTTCTTTTGATTTTCTTGCGGAAGAACGCAATTGCAATGTGGACATTCCTCAAGTTTTGTTGGAAAAACGGCTGTTTTTTTGACAAAGCTCTGTAGTGTATATATAACCTTAGAGTATGTCTACAGCAGTGGTGCCCAGCCTTTCTCTGCCATGGCACATCTTGAGCTCTAAAGGCTCTTTTCTCTGCCCCCAACTGGTGGCAGTAGGGGGGAAGGCTTGGGACAGAGGAGCCAATCTGTTGTTCTTACAGGAGGGGCGGAGGGAAGAGAGGGACGTTGGGCTTTGATGGGTTGCTCCACCCCTGGAGGAGGTGGGGAAGTGAGGCAGATGGCCAATCAGAAGGCAGCATCCCTCCTTGCTCTCACATGCACTTTTCCAAATAATTCTGCCATACACCAGTTCCGGCCTGATGACACACTATTTGGAAACCCCTGGTCTACAATACAGGCTCTGTTCCAGCATAGCTATACTGGCATAGCCCCATAGTGTAGTCACAACCTACATCACCATGTTTTCAATTGATGGCAAAACATTACCTTCCCAAAGCACATTAGAGACATGGAGAAAAGACCTCTTCCATCAATATAGCTGTTTCTAACCTCAGAGTCATATCAGCAAAGCTATGTGCATGAGGAGTGTGGTTTTTCATACCCCTGACCTATATAGCTATGCCAAGATACCTTTCAAGTGTAGACCAAGCTTCAGGTGAAGCACTTCAGTGAAGCAAAAATAATTACCACCTCTCTGTCTTCCCCCATTGATGTTTCTACTGAATGCAAGGCTGCCAGCAGAGAGAACAAAAGAGGCAACTGCCCCGGGGCCCACCAGTATAAAGGGGCCCAGGCTCTCAGCTGCTGCTGCTATTGTGTCCATTAAATCATTGCCAGAGCTCTGGATGGTGGGCTCTAGGAGGTGCAAAAGGGCTGGTTGGGGGAGGCTATCCTCTGTCTCCTCCCTTCTGCCTGAGGACCCTCCCCTCTCCCAAAGGCCCCACCTCTTCAGGAGTACAGATCCAGACCCCCCGATCTTTCCCAGGGTCCTGGTAAGCCTGTCAGCCACCCTGGCTGAATGCAACAGAACTAGATTGCTACATTGACTGTCACTTTAATGGTTTGAATGGAGTGTGCCACCTGCATCTGAGAACCTCAGTGGGTATAAATAAGAGGTGGTTTTTGTTTTCCCAGCTCTTGGTGGGTCTGAGTTTGGCATCACAAAGTCACAGTTTGGACTCAGGTCTTGTTTTGTCCAATCACACTAGTCAGGCAGCAGGTGAAACGTTCAGATAATTATTTCATTTTATGACCGGGCACTACATTTACTTTAAAAAAAAAATCCCCTTTTTACAAATCAGCTTTCAAGATCAAGACACACTCTCTTTATATATTGCCTACATCTATTTCTAAAGCTAAAGTTAATCCGCTAGAAAGCAGAGAATGAAACCCAGCCCAAAATTAAATATAAGCAATGGTCCTCACTGCTCACATGTGTGAATGGCACGCATAGATTATGATTAACACATGCTGTTCTCCTTTCAGTCTGTGCAAAAGTGTCCTGTTACAAAGGGTGGTCAGCTTCACAGCACTGTAATGAAATTATGAACAGTGCATGGGTTTCTTCCAGCCCAGAATTTCTGAGATGCTCACTAGGACAATGAAACAATAAGAATAAGATAAAGGATCTGTGACGGGGTGCCTCCGCCCCGCACTATAAATGGACCTATGGGCAGGGCCCAGGTGGCTGAGAGGGTCCAGCTGGCAGAGAGGGCCCTCCCCCATGGTTTTGCTGGGCATGCTCACTGGTGAACTGCATTATAAAAGGTCCTGAGCCGGCTCACTTGGGGCTGATAGCCGAGGGGGAAGGACCGGCAAGGCCAGCTCCTGACCCAGAGGAGTCCATGCAGCTGGAACCAGCGCTACAACCCCATCCGCCGCACCAACCCCAGACCTGGAGACCATGGAGAGGTATGACCGCAGGGGAACAGTGGGGAGATAGGAAGCAGCCCAGGGCAGGGAATAACAGGGCCCCGAGTTCTCAGTGGGTTGAGGGGAGTCACTGCCAATAGGGCCCTGGGATGGGACCCGGTGGAGTGGGAGGGCCCAGGTCCCGTATCCTCATCCCTGTGGCACCCCCAAGCCCAAGAGGACCCACAGGCTTAAGGACTAGGCCCAAGAGGGAGGACTCTTAAGACTGAGTCGCCGGGCCCAAAATGAGAGAGATCCTTACCAAGGGGTTGCACCCTTTGACAGGATCCAAATATATGACACTTCGAATGAATTCCTTGGATTTAGAGGTTGTTACTATAGTTATCTCTGCCCTGAGCTCAAGTTTCATAGAATTACAGAAATGTAGGGCTGGAAGGGACCTTGAGAAGTCATCATCTCCCGACCCTTGCACTGAGGCAGAACTAAGTAAACCTAAATTACCAGGACAGGTGTCTGTCCAACTCCTTCTTAACCCCCCCTAGGGATAGAGCTTCCACAACCTCCCTTGGAAGTCTATTCTAAAACCTAACTAACATTATAGGTAGAAAGAATTTCTAAATCTCCCTTGCTTCTTGTCCTATCATCAGTGGACCTGGAGAACAATTGATTGCAGTTCCCCTTATAAAAGTCCTCAATATAGTGGAAGACATTCATCAGGTTCCACTTCAGTCTGCTTTTCTCAAGACGCAACAGGCGCCCACTTTAACCTTTCCTCATAGGTCACATTTTCTAAAACTTTTATCATTTTTGTTGCTCTCCTCTGGACTTTCTCCAATTTGACTATATCTTTCCAGATGTGTGGTGCCCAGTATTGGACACAGTCATCCAACTGACACCTCACTAGTGCTGAGTATAGCAGGACAATTACTTCCTGGATCTTACATATAACACTACTGCTAATATACCCCAGAATTATATTAGTCCTTTATGCAACTGCATCATACCATTGTCTCATATTTAATTTGTGATTTGGCTTTCAACCCACAATCCTTTTAGTAGTACAACAACCAAACCAGTTTTTCAGTTGTGCACCCATCTTATAATAGTTTTATCTAGACCATGTTTCCATAGTTTGCTTAGAAGAATGTGATGTGGGATTGTGTCAAAAGTGTAATTAAACTCAAGCTATAATATGTCTGCTGCTTCCCCCCTATCCACGAGACCAGTAACCCTATTAAAGTTTACTAATCAGCCAGTGAGTTTTTGTTCTGGTGACTTGTAAATATTTCTAATTCTATCCTTCCCACATGGAATTTGCTAGCTTCTGCAATGCTGGATTGTGCCTCGAGAGGTCCTACCTTACGGACTACCACAATGAAAGTTAGCAGAGCCTTCTAACACCATTTCCCAGCAAGGAGCAAGCACCAACCAAAAGCCTTGAGCCACACATCAGAGAAGGGTCTCTGTGTGTTTGGTTGGTTGGGTGCGGTGTTTTTCTCTTAATAACCTGCAGGTGAGATATGGAGGAGTTCTGGAATAAAACTAAATAGCTGATAAGTCTTTTCATGATACTTTTTAACCTAGGTCTCAAAACACTTTACAGAGATTGGTATTATTCCGCCCATTTCACAGATGAAGTAACTGGGGCTGTTTTTCCAAAAAAGCTTCAATTATGTCCACATTGCAATCACGTTCTTTCAAAAAAAATTGAAAGAACAGAGGGTTTTTTCCAACAGTAGTAAACCTCTTTCTATAAGGAAGAATGCTTTTTCCGAAAGAGCTCTTTTGGAAAAAGGCATGTGTAGTCAGGAAAGAGGCAGTTTTTTTGAAAGAAGAGGCCTCCAGGAAAAAGCACAGGTGTCCTGGTGGCTACTCTGTCCACAGCAATCAGAACTTAAATGCAAGATAGCATCCAATGAATGTGGACACTATCTTTCGAAAAAGTACATCACTTTTTCATTGCACTTTTGCTGTTTAGATGCTGTCTTTCAAAAGAAGTTTTTCCAGGAGATCTCTTCCGGAAAAGCTTCTTCTGAAAGAAGCCTGCAGTCTAGACATAGCCTGGGCTACAGAAAGTCAGTGCATCAATAGCAGAGCTAGCAACTGAAGTCAGCTCTACTAACTGCCAAACTGATGTCCTGTTTACTAGATTATGTAGAAGTAGGCTGTTCCTGCATCATCTCCCTAGCATAGTTTCAAGTGAAATATTAAATTTATTTAGTGTTTACATTGTGGAAAATCTAGAATCAGGATCAGGCCCCCTTGTGTTAGATGCGAACAAATATATATGAAAATACATAAGTCACTTTCCTAAAGAGCTTACAATCCATGTAAATTTTGTACTAAAACTATTATTTTTCACATCTGCAGGTTCCTTATTAGCAGCAAGCAGAATCCATGGAACTGACATGCTAATCCAGATAGGTAAATGCATTTTATGGGTAAAGGTAGGTGTATTTCCATTCCAAAGGCATTCATTCTGCAATAGCAAAATTCATGAAATGATTTCTTTACTCTGATTTATTGACAGAATTTCTGCCTCACTTCAGCCTCCTGAATAGGAATAATAGGAAATATGTGGCTAGTAAATGTTTTAAAATCTCAAAATATTAAACATTGATGGAGTATCAGAAGTGGATATAGTCACATCTAGACATGACTGAAAATCCATTGAAGGATGGCTTGTAATGTTCCATCTATTTTTTCCATCCCCATGCAGAATGAATTTTATGTACACAGTGGCACATGCACCACCAGTAGAAACACATGCTGCTGGCTGTGGGCGCTCTGCTAATCAGCTGGGTGGTATTTCAGTCTTTCTTGGGTGGCCACCCAAGCACTCAGTTTATAGGGAACACTGGCTGGCTTGGTGCCATAGCAGCATGGGCTGATTCAGAATTATGGTTTAGAGGAAGAACAATCACATTAAATGTAAGTGAAACTCTCACCTCCCTATACTCTCTACACTCTACTATTTTAAAAAATATATATTATATATTAAATTTGACAGCAAAGTAATGGTGTGGTTATATAACCTTGCTATGGACCTAACAAAGCTAGGGAATAATGGCTTTGCATTTTTAGCTTTCCACTGACTCAGAGGTTTTGTGTTTGTTAAATCAGACCATCTCTTAGCGGTGATGGAATAACTAATGTAAACTAATTGAGTTTGGACCACTTAAGCAGATGGCTTTCCCCTCTTTGTGCTGTTGTTTGGTCAAACAGAGTACAGTGTGCTGTCCTGTTCCCTAGGGATTAAGCATGTGTTTTTGCAAGTGCTAAATCAGTATCTAATTTTGGACGGGGGTTAAAACCATGTAAATAGTTAAACATGTGCCCAGCGTATTAAGGGGCCAGCTAAATGAATGCTGCAGGGGGGTTTCAGATTCATCTTTATTATTAAACATCTGTTAAAAGCATTCACTGATCTGTCTGTATCTGAGCTAGAGATGTGCAGAGTATATTTAACATTATTTTTATTAATTTTTATTGCCTGTGTTTTTGATGGTAGTGAGGTGCCAACTTTGTGGTGACTTTCCCAAGAAGTGCTGAAATCCTGCTCTGCCCCATGCCCTAAATCATCCTGCCCCTTCTCCCAAGCCCCCATCTACACTGCCTCTTCTTCCCCCTAATCATCTCCCTTCCCCCTAGAACTTCCCACACACTTCTGAACAGCTGATATCACAGTGGACAGGAGATGCTGGGAAGGAGGGAGAGGAGATGCTGGGGAGTGAGGAGGGTGGCTATCAGCAGGTGCTGAGCATTCACTATTTTTTTTTTCTGTGGATGCTGTAGCACTTGGCATTACAGGGATTCCCGGCTGCAGAGCAACCTGTGTGGAGTCTGAGTCTGCTGCAAGAAGAGCGGCCCCTAGGGCTGTAGACACACATCTGGACCTACGCAAGAGAATTTGCAGGGCAATGCCACACCTCCATTGAAGCAGCAGTGGTCACATTGAAATGCCACTGACTCACTTTGAAGTGCTGAAGGGTATGATGGCAACAAGCCAGGAGCCTGCGGGGTCACTTTGAACTGGTTGGCTGCAGGCTGGCTGTGCTTCACAGATTGTAGGGCTACCACCTGAGCCTTTGCTCCTGTACATTTGAATATGAATCCCCTGGCCAAGACTCACTTTTGACTTTAACCTATGGGTTCAAGTCATGCTGTGAGGAAAAGCAGGTGCCCAATATGACCATACATGGCTTTTCTTTCTGCTTTAGTCCAGGGCACCATGTAGGAAAATAGCCATCTTATGGGATATCTGCACTGGTAACCAGCAGCAACCAAGCTCTGGATTCGTGGGAATTTTCATTTAGTTTGTTTTTATTCCTTAAAAGCAATCTAAGGGTATGTCTACACATCAACGTTAATTCGAAATAACAGCCGTTATTTCGAATTAACTTTCCTAGCATCTACACAGCCAAACTGCTATTTCGAAATTAATTCAAAATAGTGGAGCGCTTATTTCGAATTTGGTAAACCTCATTCTACGAGGAATAACGCCAAATTTGAAATATCTAATTTGAAATAAGCACTGTGTAGACGCTTATTTCGAAATAGGGGGTTTCCAGCCCTTCCCAGTTTCCCCTGGTGGCCACTCTGGCCCAAACCAGGAAAACTCCTCTCCTCTCCCCCAGTCCCAGAGCCCTTAAAGGGGTAGACTCTGGCCACAGTTCAGGTGCAGATCCAGGCCTGCCAGCAGTCGCTGCCCCTAACCCAGTGGCCTCACAATGAGCCAGGCAGCCAGTGCCAGCCAGCTGTCCACTGCCCAGTCCCCCAGCTCCCAGGAGCCAGCCCGGGGCCGGAGATGGCGGGCACCTTCCTGGACTAGTGCGGAGGTCATGGACCTCATTGAGGTGGGGGGTGGCCTCCAACATCCATGATCTCCACACTAGATGGAGGAACACAGCCGTCTATGGCCAGATAGTTGCCACCATGGCCACAAAAGGGCACATGCGCACCAAGGAGCAGGTGCGCATGAGAATAAAAGATTTAAGGCAGGCGTATGCCAGGGCCACACGGGGCAGCTCCCCAAAAGGGGCAGATACCTGCCCCTATTTTGGCGACCTGGACCGCATCTTGGGGGGTGGGACGGTCCTTGCCACCCCGGGGGGCACCGATTCGGGAACAGAGGGCCCTGACCAGGACGTGGAGGAGGAGCCACAGGAGTCGAGATGGAGGGTGCCACGCTGCCAGGACCACCGAGCCCTCCCAGCAGCAGAGTCATCAGGGTCATCCGGGGAGGCCACAACATGTGAGTGCCATCACTGTCCCCTTACCGGGGTAGGGGGGAGCGAGGAGAGAGACCAGGGACCTCGCATGGGCCTTGCTTACCACGGATCACGCAGCAACCTGTGCCCGTGCGAGCACGTGTCGTGCCACCCCTGGGCAGGTGGCTCCAGCTGCGTGCCACACAGGGGCCTTGGCCTGATAGCCACACGCGTGTGTAAAGAGACATGACATGCTCCTAACCCCGGAGCAGGCCACAGCAGGACACCGTCCCTTCACAAGCCCCCTCTACACAGAGGCAGGGGACATCTCCCCACCACACACACACATACCTCAGCCACACTATACACAGCACAGGGGCATGGGTGCAATCTCAGGGCAGCTCCCACTCCCGGGGATAGCCAGACATTCTGACCATGGCCTCTGTGCAAGCACGTCAGCTCGGACGGTGCAGGGCACAGTCATCCTCACCTCGCAGAGGCGGGGCTGAGCTTCACCCACTGTGTCCCCAGGGAGAACTGATCACTTCTCTTGTTTCTCCACAGCCGGACCAGCAGCACGTGCAGGGTGCACCACCCCTCCCAAGACATGCTCCCACACCTGAGGGCTCTGCAGGACCACCCGAACACTGCAGGGGTACCGACAGCAGCACCTGGGGGCCCTGCGAGCCCTGCACCGCACGGTGGAGCACTGGGTGCAAGAAGATTGGGAGTTCCAGCGGGAGCTGCTTGCCCAGGGTTGTGCCATCTGCCAACACCTGCAGATCCTGGTGCAGAGCATGCTGCCTCTTGCCTCTCCAGCACCTGCTGCCTCCCCAGCTGCCACTCCTCCTCCCATTCCTTCTCCCCTTCCCACTTCTCCCTCCACACCCTCCTCACTCTCTATCCCCACCTCCCCATCCCCCCGGGGATGCCAAGGTCCCGCATCCGCGGTGCCGGGAGACAGTTGGCCCGGTAAGACCCACACCCCTGAGCCCTGAGTTTCCTCTTCCCCTTGCTTCCCCCTTCCAGCTCCCTCCTCCCAGGTTTCCCACTCTCCTCTCCCACCCTCTTTCCTCCCTTCTCCTGTCTCCTTTCCCCATTCTCACCAGAGTTTCATTCCCCACCCCCAAGTTTTGTTGAATAAAGACAGTTCGTGTTTATGAAAAAATGTGTATTTTATTTTACATCAGGAAGGAGGGTTGGGGAAGGGGTGTGGAAGGACATGAGGGAGGAATGAAGCACAAGCCCCCAAGGGGTGAGGGTGGGAAAGTGGAAGGATGTGCGGGAGGAATGAGGCATAAGCCCCTAGTGGAGCAGTCCAGAGAGGCTCTTAGTGCTCCTCAGGGTGGAAGTTCTTTCACAGGGCCTCATGGATACTGACAGTCCCCCAATGGACCTCCTGAATGGCAGCCTGCAGAAAGTGCAGCCAGGCTGGTAGCAACGCATCCACAAGAAGCACCAGAGTGCCCAGGGGCAGCTCTGGCTCCATGTTGCAGAGTGCTGTGGTATCCCGAGTGAAGACAACCAGACACCTCAGACACAAATGCTTTGCTGTCCCTCATCGAGGTAGGAAAGCAAGCAGGGACACCTGAGAACCTGGGGGAGAGGACGAGGTGTCCCTTTAAGCACAGGTCTCAGATGGCAGCAGCCTCACACAGTAAGTTCTGACGTGATGCCCTGCCTGACCTGGTTCCGGACAGCCTTAAATGCGAATAGTGTCCACTCAGTGTGGATGTGGTATTTTGAAATACAAAATTCTATTTCGAACTGCGTTTTTTATGTAGACGTGTTATTTCGAAATATCTTATTTCGAATTAAGATATTTTAAAATAATGTGGTAGTGTAGATGTACCTGAAGAGAAGAGATTTTTACTGCATGCCTCTCAGCTTCAGCAATTCCCTTTCCTGATTTTCGAGCAATCTTTCACTTTCTCACACACCAAGAAGAAACCGATTATTTAAATGTAGTGAAGTATCTGATATAAAATGATGTAGTCCATGAAATTCCTCTCCTCATTCATCCCCTAGCTCCCATGTAGGACTGCCTTTCCAGCCTATATGGCACACAATAATTCAATGTTCCAAGGCCTTCCCAACAGATCACTGCATATCGTCAGTATCTAAAGGTAACTGAAAAATGGGCTGCTTCAGCTTTACCCTCCAAATTCTTCTGTTTAAGTCAGACCTTGGATGTTATTTTGACAAAGGCTTCACAATGTTGATTTCCTTGTATTCGTAGCAAAGAAAGGAAAATGAGAGCAAGGTACACAAGGCACAACAATCTCAACAACTATTTGGAGAAATCCAGAACTTTGGAATCACAATAAGCATTAATTATGCAGAAAAGCAACAGGGACTAATGTTGGTTCAATTTTCAGTTTGTGCTAAAGCCCTACATTTTCCCCCCTGAAAGCAACAGAATGGTAACTGAAGGATGAATTTAACTTTCACTCTCCTCTCTACCATCCCCTCATATGTGCATTTTGAGTGGCATGCATACCACATATTTGTAGCTAAGAAATATTGTAAGTAGAATAGTCAAGTTGCTTTTAACAATGCACATTTATGTGCCATGGCTAAAAGGTCCTGGTAAATGGCCAGGTGCTCTGATTCACTGATGTAAGTTTGGAGTTCCTCTGAGTTTACACCAACACAACTGGGAAATAGATTGTTCCCATTGATCCCTTGCTGAAAGAGCCTGAAATGAATTTGAGGGTCTGAGGTCAGTCCCTGGTGGCTCTTAGTCAACAGTGTAAAAGTACCATATGTAGTTTGTCACAATTAATGTAGTCTTCGCTCAGCTGTGGCTGCAGAGCGAAAGTGACTCTGTTCATTTCAATGCCTAAGCAGATCTGCCTTTTCTGTTTAAAGGTCATTAAAACAGCAAGGAGGAGATCATGTGGCTGCTGTATGGGCTATAGCTGATTGTCAAAAGGGGGAGTTGATTTCCAGGATTCTAGATACCTTAAAACCATGAAATTAGAAACAGCCTTGTGTGTTCAGCGGAAGGAACAGGGTTCAGGCAAACAGTGGCATTCAAACCTTCCCTTCAAAGTATTTCTGTGAGGATTAATTAGCTGAAATCCTTTGTTTTTTATCTCTTCAGGGAAGTCCATTGAGAATTTATTGCTGGGCCACTAATGAATTTTTAAACTGCCAAAGAGTAATGTAAATAACTGCGATCCCCATCTGTTACACTACCATTATCAGGTCAAAATATATGCATACTATTGCTTCAAGTAAAGGGTACGTCCTGAGGTGGGCAAAGAGTGCTTATAAAAACCACGCATAGCACTGTGGATTAGAGCAATTAATTGGAACTCCTTAACTGCATCTGAAAGAGCTTCCATGCAAACAATTGGATGATGGTTGCAATATGGGGTCCAGGAGGAGAGTTTTTTTTTTAAATGAGCACATAAGCATTTTTTTTCAGGTTCATTGTAGTAAGCATAGAAGGATGTTGCCTATTGATGTGTGTGGAAAGACAGCTGCTTGTGACAATGGGCTTTGTGGCAGGCTCTTACATGGCGGAATGTGCACACCCAATGTAAGTCCCAGGGTATAACTTAGCCATTGGCATTGCTTCATATGTGACCCCGTTTTGTTCCCCTGGCTCTATTACAGTATGTGAATACATTCTTTTATAACTGCTGCAGTACCCAATGAAGATGCACCTTAATGAGTTTTAATTACTAACTGGTATTAATCTACCCCTTAAACCCTTTATTTTTAATTATTACTGTTTTTTAGCCTTCATGGACCTTTTTGAAAAAAATGAATTCATGATGGGTGTGGTTTTAAGAGAACTTGTCTCCGGTATTTTTCTTTTTAATTTATGGAGAGGAAAACAAAATGTTTCTGGTCTTGAATAGACAATCACCCTGAAAACAATTGCTTCTAAAACCAGTTGCAAGGATTGGCACACTAGGCAGAGTCAATGGAAAGTAGCTGCGTTAGTGTGTAATTGAGAAAACTTTAAAAACAGTGAGTAGTCCTGCAGCACCTTAAAGACTAACAAAACATATAGATGATATCATGAGCTTACCATGAAGAAGTGGGTTATGCCCACGGAAGCTCATGATACCATCTACATTTTTTGTTAGTCTCGATGGGTATGTCTACACTACCCTCCTAATTCGAACTAGGAGGGTAATGTAGGCATACCGCACTTGCAAATGAAGCCCAGGATTTGAATTTCCCGGGCTTCATTTGCATGAAGCCAGCTGTACTCCTCATTCCACGAGGAGTGGCGCCGGCCGGCTTCATGCAAATGAAGCCCGGGAAATTCAAATCCCGGGATTCATTTGCAAGTGCGGTATGCCTACATTACCCTCCTAGTTCGAATTAGGAGGGTAGTGTAGACATACCCTAAGGTGCTGCAGGATTACTCACTGTTTTTAAAGTTTTTTCAGTAACTTCAGTGGGCAAAGATCAGGCTCCAGGATTGTAAGATGCTCCCAAATCACCCCAGTGCCCTACTTCCCCCATTAATATTCTGTAATTGGCACGTGTTCTGTTAGCTTTTGAGGGCTAGCTTTGCAGAAAGACAGCCTTTAAAAAATTAAAATGCTAAGTAGTCTGGTCTACTATGTATCTGAGAGAGTTTGTTTGACTGTGAATGTGTCTGTCTGTTTTGGTTGTGCTAGGAAAATGGGATGTGCCTGAAATGAAATTGTTTCTCATAAAATGGAAAGGGAGAGCTCTGCTAGCAGGGACAGTTATACTGTATAATGACCACAAGGGGCAACAATGGGCCAGAATTGGGGACCAGAACAGCTATAAACCCATTGATACAGGAGAGGACAGGGGTGGGGAAAGGAATGGCTATCTACTGCATATTTGAAAGAGTTTGTTTGTGTGTGTCTGTCTGTCTGTTCCCCAGTTGGGAGACATGCATCCCTCCCCCTGCTGTGCCAGATGCATTGGCCATGGACAGCGCTTTTTACCTGGCTCCAGGTTGCTGCGGTGAGAGATGGTTGGAAATGTTCTCTTCCCCCAGGGCAGCCTGTATACTGAACCCCTCATCTGCACTCCCACCCCAGAGCAATGATTTAAATGAAGAAAAACAAAAATTATTTGAGTTAAGGATCTGCACAACACCGGGTAAATCTTCTAGTAATATATAAGCTTTACTGCACAAAAACTACAAATATAGTATCCTCTTCAACCAAGAGTGGGCAGAATTCATCCTTGGACTGAACATGACTGATGGAGTTCTGCAGTATGGTCCATACCTGCCTTCATCTTCAATGCCAAGATACAGAGACAGATATTTGGGTCTAATTGTGTCCATATGGTTTCTTATCATTTTGTTGCATAAAGAAAAAAGATACCCCACCACTGATGAGTAGATAAGAAATTCTGCAGAAGGCATTAGGGAACAACTTGAGAACAGTTTGGGTAACTCTGCCCTAAAATCTAGCACTTGATCTAATACTGGGTTATGAATCAGAATGAAATTCATACCACTTTTAATTATGGAAATGTATTCTAGATTCACTTGTACCGGGGTGCATGCTGGGAGGCTGCTGCTGCTTAGTTACTATTTGTAAGTTCACACTGTTTCATTTACAAGTGCTGTATCAGAATATATTTGCCCATGACCTGGATAAATCACAAACATCTCCTATCTAGATGGAGTGTTCTATGATTCCGTGCATCTGCTTCTGACAAATAAAATATGTCAGCTAAAACATTGAATTCAAATGTAATACCTTACAAACATTTAAAAACCCTTTAAATGAAGGACGTCACTTAATCGCTAGTGCCTCTGCTCCCCATCTGTAAAATGGAGACAATACTTCCCCTTTGCCATTGCTGCCTCATTTATTTATATTGTAGGATCTACAGGACAGGGACTGCCTTCCACTCTGTGTATATACCATGATGCCTAATACAATAGGGCCTTGATTTGAGTTGAGGTATGCAGGAGCTAAAGTAATAATAATGGTACTACTGTTTTAAATATGCAAAAATCTGCAACCAAAGGTAATTATGGTAATAGAACTTTACAGCTGAGATTTTAATCACACAGAAGCTAAGAAATTCATGTGTGTGGTTACCCAGTGTTGTAAATTGTCTGTCTCCTGGGTTAATAGAATTTTCTTTCTGTATGTTACATTAACACTAATAGCTTAGGTTCAAATTCTGCTCTTGGTTAGGCAGGCATGACTCCCTATTCACTCAGTGACACTGCACATGGTAATAAACACTACAAGGTGTTTTGTCAGCAGGATGAGGCCTTACTTTGCCAGCTGTAACTAGCTAAAAATTTTAAATGGGATTTTCTACTAGACAAGGGTGACTGGAAGCAAAAGTGAAACTGGTGACATTGTTGACATTGTCCACACTGATGAAATATGGGGAAAATGGCATCCATGTTAAAAATGACATTCATTTTTAATAATGTAAGATATTATCAGTAAAGCAAGGAAAAATTGTATTTAACATTATTTTTAACCATATAATAGCCTTTTAAAAAAAGTGGGGGAGGGACCTATGCATTAATTTACTTATGCAATCTACCATGGCTATCACTGAGTAAAGGTAAAATGCATATATGCATTTATTTGAATGTGTGAGCTAACAATTATGCTTCCAAATAAAGGCACCATCACCTTGAGAGTGCCAGAGCATTGATGCTCCATGACCCTGGCTTCATAATTGCTTATTTGCATGTTTAATCACAGATATGACTGGTGCAATTATTTCAGCTTAGACATCTGGATATATGTATTCCATGCATATTTCAGATAGTATGGAAAATAATGTGTTGTAACTACACAATATTTTACTTTCACTCATTTATAATGTGTTTCACCCACTGTTTTTTGCATATTGTGCTTTGGGACATTCCTCACTGAATTCCATGTACTGCACCTGTCAAGTTTTAAATGTTTAAATGAGAAGGATTTTTCAGTATCTGAACACAAAGAAACATCTGACCATTTTTAACTAAGTGAGAAAATTGATTTCTAGTAGAATAGTTCGAAAATAACTAAACAGAGTTTAAGCAAACCTTCCAAAGAGATTCACTTCAGAGCACTGAACAAGCATGATACATTTCTATCCACAAGGCTGTCTGAGAGGAAAGGAACAGGACGGGGAAAATAGGAGTATAGAATGAAAAAGCCATTTTATCTGAAGTAATCAGTATAATTCTGAAAGTCACTTGTTAAAACCTTTTTGCTGATGTAGAGTCCAGAACACAAAACTAGTGAGTTACTCATCATCAGTTATAAATATTCAAATTGGAGACAGACTGAAGTCACAGACCTTCCATTCCAATCCAAATTTTAAACAACGTCTCTCACTTCCCTCCCCTCCCAACCCCCAGAAAGTTCAGAAGTATTTGCATCAGGGATTTTGGTTAATGCTCATCTCTAATTATAATGTATTTTGCATTTCCATAGCGTTTCCCATTTGTAGATCTCAAAGCACTTTGCAAACCCCAATTAAGCCTCTCAAGACCCTTGTGCTATATGGAAGTATTATCAGCTTCATTTCTGTAGATGGATAAACTGAAGCACGGGGAGATTAAGTACTGCAGCTTGCCCAAGGTCACAGAAGATGTCAGTGGCAGAGCCAAAAATAAAATTTAGGAGTCCTGATTCAGTTGCTTAATCTACTCAGTCAACCAGACTCCCTCTTTAGCAGTCTGTAGTGTATTACAAACTGAACTGTAGCTGTTGGCAGGCTTACCACAGCCTTAAACACAATAAAACCGTCCCCATTTCCTTTTACCCACTTCACTTGGGCTTCACTAGTGCTGAACTCCAGGTTGAACAGGGAAGGGTTTCACTTGTTCTGACCTTCAACTATCAGCTTCCTCTTGCTTGTATTCTTAGGTATGGATAAGAGAGGATGAAAGGTTGCTAGGTTAATCTGAATCTAATCCAAAGCATGTATAAGCTCCTGAAAAACTCTGCCTTTTGCTCCGTGCTGTGACTAGCTGTCCTAGGCACTGCAAATGGGAAATCAAGCAGTTGGGTATATTTCAATCTCTTTTCCATTTCTAAACTGTGTGACATTGGAGTGGCACATTTGCAAAGCTGAACAGGACCCAGCCTTTATGCTCTAAGAAATACTGACCCAGTTATAAACAAATATAAACACTACAACTTTTTTTTTCAAGGCAGGCAAAGATGCAAGACCTCCATGCTGGGATTGGCTTTCAGTCTTTCATTCTTTCTGTCACCTCTTTTATAGCCCCCTTAAGATTTCCTCCCAGCTACCACTGCATCAATGACTACAGCCAAAGCAACTGTACTGAATACTATGCTAATGTGCCAAAAGTACAGTCTACATTACTCCTTCTCTTCAGTTTGGCCATTTCCAACCATTCCCTTCTTTTAACAGGCAGCTACGGCTTGCTGGCACCTGCATTTCTCACAAACATCAATTGGAGTTATGGATGCTCTGAACCTCTGAAAATCAGGCCCTCAGATGTTTCATACTAGACTGACATGAGTCCCATGTTAAACCAGATATATTTCCCAGCCATCGGTTCTGTTATTGCCTTAGTTTGTATGGGCCCAGTCCCATGATGTTTCATGCATGTAACTTTACTCTCATGAGTAATTCATCCCTTGGGAAAGTGGGGGAAACCTCAAGGTTTTACTGAGCCAGTTTTATAGCTGATTCAGAGGATGACATCATCTATGAAAGACCGAGCCTGAAGACATGTGGTCTATTCAGTTCATAGAGTGAGTCTGGATTGAGTGCACAGTGTCTACAGAAACTGGGGGGGGAAATGATGATATTCATGGAGGAGGGGGCAAAATAGAAGCATCTTCTTAATGGATCAAGCTGTAAAAGATTGAAGTAGCCAATTCACTTAGGGTATGTCTACACTGCAACGCTATTTCAGGATACGTCCAGTATCCCAAAATAGCTATTCTGCGTCTTGACAGTGCACCCGTTATTTCAAAATATCTTTCAAAATAATGGACATGCTATTCTGACTTCCCTGTAAACCTCATTCCTCAGGGATTATGGGATGTTTTGGAATAGTGCTTTATTTTGAAATTTGGTGCTGTGTAAACAGTGCCAAATTACAAAATAAACTATTTCAAAATTAACTCAAAATAAGCTACGCAATTTGCTTAGCTCAAATTGCGTAGCTTACTTTGAGCTAAGGGTGCAGTTTGGACATACCCTTAGTGTGGTCAGGGGAAAATGGAAATGATAAAAAATCCTCTGATGTCACAGAATGTTTCACTTGCAGTTCCTGGTATGAGCCAACACCAAGGTTCGGTAGGTGTGGTTTTAGTTAAGACAGCCAGAAAACAAAAGGAAAATTAGAAGCCATTTCCAGCAACAGTTAAAAAACCCTTTCCCATCAAAACAAACATGTTAAGGGTTTGAGTTCTACTTTGATATATGGGGCCAAACCAAAGGTACCTCACTCTCGCTGTACAAATCTCTGCTACACAATTTAACTTACAAGCAGCAATCTCAATGTTACCCTTTATTAGCTGGCAAACATCAATTCCCTCCCTCTCCTTCTGTTCTCTCCCCTGCTCTGCACTTAAATTTTAAATGAACACAATTCCTTTTTATTTGAAAAAGAAATACAGGGTGATAGCATGCAAAAATTTGTGCTGCTGAGGGAGAGCCAGAGTACACAATGCATTTTGTCTGTGGGACTAACAAAAATAGTAGCTTTCAATCTCCTTTGGAATTCCCTGTTCTTAGGTAACTAGCCAATTAGCCCATCATAAGATGGGATTTTCAGGTCTCTTCTTCACGTCGGTCTTCTCTCCTGAGTCTCCGGTCTCTTGCTCTATCTCTCTCTCTCTCTCCTCCTCCTACTTCCTCCCCTCTCTCTCAGCTCTCCTCCACCTTCTACCTCTCTCTCCATCTCTCTCTTTCTCTTCTCCCCCTCCTGCCTCTCACTCTCTCTCCGCTCTCCTCTGTCTCTGTTGGGGATGCATGCTCGTCCAGGCCCCGCCCCTGGGCATGTACATCACCGCCTGGCCCCCCTTCGCCTCCCACCGTGGCACTCGGCTGATTTCTGCGCTGCTCAGCCAGGCTGCTGCGAGGGAGCAAGCGGAGTAAGCAGCCGTTTGGGCTCCCTCGCGGCAGCCCGGTTGAGTGGCGCAGAAGTCAGCTGAGCGCCACGGCGGGAGGCGAAGGGGGGAGGGTGGTGATGTTCACAGCCAGGGGGTGGGGCCTGGAGCCGCAGTCATGCCGCTCCTCACTGCCCCGCCCCCTTTGCCTCCTGCCGTGGCGCTCGGCTGACTTCTGTGCCACTCAGCCGGGCTGCCACAGGGGAGCAAGTGGCACAAGCAGCTGTTTGGACCTCATGCTCCCCATGCAGCACGGGAGTGCTGCATGGGGACCATGGCGCCCAAACGGCCGCTTGCGCTGCTTGCTCCCCTGTGGCAGGCCGGCTGAGTGGCACAGAAGTCAGCCGAGCGCCACGGCAGAAGTCAACAGCGCCGCCCAGAGGGAACACCCTGCGTTTCAGCGTTACAGAGTCACAGACATTGGGCTACAATATATATGAAAGGGCCATGCTCTTGGAGTGGGAGACCAGTATCTCTGTCACGTGGGGAATAAATAACCAATCATTTTCCCACAGCCTGCCTGGTAAATAACAGAAGACAAAATAGGATGGTGTACTTGAAAAACAAAATTGCGGCTATTAAGGGAGTGTTAACAATATAAGGGAGGGTGTGGAAAAGCAGATAAACAGTAAAACAACTTTGTGATTGCCCCAACCCAGTCCACAAATGATCCTTGGCAAATATAAAGTAAAACCCTAAAACTGTAAATGGAGGTCTGCTCTGGACCCTTCTGAGATAAGTGGATCAACTGGATATGAACACAGCTGCTGGTGGTAAGTAACTGTCTGTCCCTTTGCTGCAAGGGTGTGCTGGGCCCTGGACCTGCAACTGCCTTCCAGCAGCTGCTGGACACAGGAGGAACGCAGTATCTTCACGGCTAGAACCAGGAACCAAGAATATAGGCAAGTCACTGGAACCAGGAATTGGTCAGTAGACTCAGGTGTTAGATGTCTTAATCAATTATATGTATCAGGTGAACAGTGAAGGACTCCTCCAATGTCTGTGCATTTCTATAGAAATATGAGGGCAAAGCATCACAGAGGGATCATACAAATGTGATACATTTAATTCCAGTGTGGACTGAGGAAGGGCCACCGTATGGGCTGGCCTTGTTAATCTTGGTTAGCTCAGCACAATTTGGGAGGGAAAATGTATCACATATTGATTAGAATACATTTTTTTTCTGTGGCTTTTGATTCAGTGAATCATGAGACTCTGACCAGCCTGCTGAGTGGATCGGTTGTAATTGGTTCCACATTTGAGATTTGTTTTTTTTGTTTTTGTTTTGTTTTTTTTGTTTTTTTGTTTTTTTGGTGGCTAGTGTCCTTGGGAGAAACTTTGAAGCATATGATTAAGATTAGCCTAGCTAAGCAGAGTGTATGCAGCTGTATACTGCATTATGGAGCCATAGCCAGAGTTTTGTTCTATAGCAAGCTTAAAATAGGACATAAATTACTGTTTTTCTCAAAAAGCAGGTGGCCACCTGTGAACTCACACAGGATTCATTTTTATGCCTTATGAATTTTCTGTGAGGATTTTCTTTGGTTTATCTTGGTACAGTTCTCTTAATAAGAAGACTTTAAAATTTGGGCTGTGGTTGAAATTTGTCTTATTTT